CCAACCCCACACGTGCATGTGCACACACACCTCCCTCTGCTACTGAACTTCACACACACACACACACACACACACACACACACACACACACACCAAGGAAGGGGTTTGGAGGAATGCTTTGAGCTTTGAGGCTTCATTAGGGGGTTTTGATTTTCAGGTGTGATCAAGAGGTGATGTTTTAGCCTCACTCAACAGGAGCAGAGAGATGTCCAGTGGTCTCTTGGTACCTGCTCCTGGCCTGGCTTGACCCCGGGGACCCTGTAGGGCCCCGTGCTGTGGAAACCGAAGCGGGGACACCATTGACAGATCTGCCAGGTTTGGGCCTGCTCAGCAGCCGCTCCACCACATTCCACCCGGCAGCCACAGTTTGTCTTGGCGAGGTGGCCCCCTGGGCCCCGCTCCAAGAAGGGCCCAGGAGCAGCCCAGACAAACCAGCTTTCACCACAGAAGCCAACGCTGGCTGGGCTTGACTTGGTGCCAGCCCAAAAGTGGTCGGACCCTACCCCGCTCCCCTAAAAGTGGACTCATGGTCTGGGAGAGTGGCGAGGGGGAGGATGAATGGAGGGGAGCCAGACCCCCAGGTGGGTGAAAGCCAAGAAAGGAAGCAGAAGCAGGGGCCCAGGCCAGAGGGCTTTCCTGATGACACTCCATCCCGAGACAGGCCATCAGGAACTGGACCCACAGGGTGGCTGCCCAGCTCTGGAGTGGCCCTTGGCCACAGTGCCAGATAGACAGCCCTTTCAACCCTGCCATGGGGAGACCTCCCCACCTCTCCTCTCCCAGCAGCTCACAGCTTCCCCGACTCAGCCAAGGAGCCCTGGCAGCCTAGCCTGAGGGGCCCACGCACAGCCAAGGGCGCATCAGGAGCAGCGTTCATTCCCAGGCAGGCGATGGGGAAGGAAGGGCTTTGGAGAACCAAGATGCCAGGGTGCTGGGCCCCAAGGAGCAGCAGACCTGTTACTTTACAGCATTTTTCCTCCCCCCTTTAAACACTTGGCTCCTTTTCTCTCGGGGAATAAAATAAAATGTACTTGTTTCTGTTACTGCCCTGCTGGAAAGCCTCTGCTACGTCTTTAGAGCCATGAAGTCTCTTCTGTTCTGCTGCCAGTGGAAGGGGAGAGAGGGTCTGTGTACCCAGAATCCTCCCACTTATTCTCATTGGCGGTCCCTGCAGCTCTAAACCCAGAAGCTCCAAGGCTGAGGCCAGGGGGGAGGTGTGCACACCTTCTCCTTTGGAGAGTGGAAGCAGGGGCTGCTGGACAGACTACCCATGAGTGCTATTCTGGAACTCCAATAGGGGGACCCAGAGCTAAGAATGCAGCTGGGAAGGGGCAGGTTATGGAGGTAGAATGACTTAGTGAGAGATTAACGTGTGTTTGTTCTTATGTTTTCCCTCCTCTACTTCAAGAAGTTAGCTGAAGACAGCATGGCAGGGTGAAGGACTGAGATGGTCTGTAGATCTTTACATTTTGTTTCCCAAAAGCCTAGCTTCTTGTGGGGAAGAAAAGAGCCAATAGGCGCCTTCTGAGAGAGTAGTGCAAAGACAGAGAGAAAGAGGGGCATGGGGAGTGGAGTAAAAAATAGACTGGAGTTTACCATTAAAACATGTAATTAGACAGTTGATGCAATGGCTTAACATTAGACACATAATGAGTGTAATTCAGCACATTAACAAAATATTGGAGAAAGTCACACAATTATCTCAATACATGCAGAAGAGAAGTTCATAAAATTTGCATCTATTCATAATTTTTAAAATTTTAAATAAAATTAAGAATAGCCCTCGCTGGTTTGGCTCAGTGGATAGAGCATCGGCCTGCAGACTGAAGCATTCCAGGTCGATTCCAGTCAAGGGCACATGCACGGGTTACAGGCTCGATCCCAAGTAGGGGGCGTGCAGGAGGCAGCTGATCAATGATTCTCTCTCATCGATGTTTCCATCTCTCTATCCCTCTCCCTTCCCCTCTCTCTCTAAAAAATCATTAAAAACATATTTTTAAAAACTTACTAATTTAACATCTATAATAAAAAAGCATAATATGCTAATTAGACCAGATGTCCTTCCAGACAAGCTTCCAGATGAAGCTGGGGCTATAGCTGTGGGATCAAGGAAGCCACCACAGCTGCGAGGGAGGGATCCAGGCAGCTGCCACGGCTGCAAAGGCCTACTCTTGCATGAATTTCGTGCATCGGGCCTCTAGTCTATAATAATAAAAGTGTAATATGCTAATTAGACTGGACATCCTTCTGGATGTCCTTCCTTCCAGACAAAGCCGCAGTGGGCAGGGGCCACAGCAGTGGTGGGCAGGGGCCAGGGCCAAGGCCCCGTGCACAAATTTCATGCATTGGGTCTCTAGTAATTATAATAGTGTGGTATTGGTATAAAGATAGACAAAAAGATCAATGGATCAGAATAGGGAATCCAGAACAAGCCCATACATTTATGGATACTTGTTTTATGATAAAATTGCCACTGTGAGGTAGAGGTTAAGTTTAATTTTTTTCATTTGAATATCCAATTGACCCAATGCCATTGATTAAAAAGCCATCCTTTCTCCACTGCATAGCAGTTTCCATTTTTCTGGGAGACTTTTGTTTTTGGAAGAGGCTAAGGGGCCCATCAATATGGGTGGGATGGGGGGGAAGGATGTTTTGCAGAATAGTCAGCAGTAGGGCTGGTCTCAGCTGCTACCTGGCTTCCCTTGAATCACTGAGTCCAGTCCCCAGTAGGTCCTGTCTGAGCAAAATGCAGCTTCAGAGGCTGTCTGATCCCCGGGTAGGATGCAGAACACAGCAGCCTCGTTTTTCTGGGAAACATATGGGAAGAAAGCAGAGGATTTCTGGGAGATGTTGTCTCTCTGAAGATCGAGTAACCAACTGTCTTATCTTTATCCTGATTGGCCCTGTGGGAAAAAAGCCTGTGGGTGGGCTGATGCTGAGAAGGGTCTCTGTCACCTGGCATCTAGAAACAACCTGGGCAGTTCCTGTCACGTGGTCTCAGGAGAATTGGGACTTGCAGATAAAGGAAAATTCACGCCCGCTCTGAACTTATTTCAAGTACAAAAACCAACTTCCTTTTCCACAGGTTGACACCCAGGGACTATCTCCACGGTAGACACTTTTGTGTCCCACCCACATCTCCTCATCTTTATCTCTTCAGTGCACACCTGTCTGACTCCATCTGCCAACACCTGCATCTGCTTGCCTGAGGATTTTCTCTATCTTTCGGGACCTGTTTTGCCACCCATGGCCTGACTGGAAGTGCCAGGAAGGTAATGCTCCCCTTCCCCACAGAAGCCCTTACCCACTGACTGATGGAGGTTGGTGTATAAATACTCCAGCTCCCTTGCTCCTCAGGTGGAAAAACTCTGAGGTGTGTTCTACACTGTCTACCCCAGTTCTCCAGCAGGAAGCTTGTCTCAGATTCTGCTTCTAGGGGAACCCAAACTAAGACATGTGAAAAAGAAAATTATATTAGTCACCTTAGGCTACTGTAACAAAATGCCATAGACGAGGTGGCTGAAACAATAGAAATTTATTTTCTCATTGTTCTGGAAACTACAAGTACCAGCGATCAAGGTGCCAGCTGATTTGGTTCCTGGCGAGGACTCTCTTCCTGGCTTGTAGACAGTCGCCTTCTCACCGTGTCCTCATACAGTGAAGAGAGAGCTCTGGGGTCTCTTCTTACAAGGACACCACTTCTATCAGACTAGGGCACGACTCTCATGACCTTATTTAACCTTAATCACCTCCTTAAAGGCCCCATCTCTAAATATAGTCATATGGGGGGAAAGGGTTAGGGCTTGAATGTATGAATTTGGGGAGGACACAATTCAGTCCATCAAATTGATAGCAAACATAATTGATTAGCTCTGCCTACTCTGGACCAGGGAGTGGGCAGTGCCGACTCAAATGGTGGCTTGAGCACAGTGGAGAGATTTTTGAAGACAGATATCACATCTCATTCCTATCAACCATGGCATCTGACCCATCTCAGGAACCAGAATATGACCATTGTCCGGCTACCATCTGCATCCAGTCCAGTGGACTGCAGTGGAGAGCCCCAGGCAGTAGGAACTGCTCAGACTCTGAATGGAGCAGGGTGTGGGATGGCAGGCTTCAGGGCTCTGCAACACAGGCTGGAAACAGGAACTGAGGGGGAGACCAGGCAAGCACTATAAATAGGGGAGGGTGACCAGAAGGCTACCTGTTATGGTCCCAGATGTTGGCCAGGATCACAAGAGAAGGAAGTGGCAGGACCAGCCCATCTGCCTTGGCAGAGTCTTTGCCCAGAGGGCTGTAGGGCATGGGCACATGGGTTGGGGAAGAATAGGATTTCCCCAGGTCAGAGCCAAAGAGTGCCACCAGCCTGGACACTGGAATCCCTGGACAATGAGTCAAAAAAGTGGCTCCCCAGGTCTGAGGTCTCGGGCACATGTCTCAGGGGAACAACAGGGAGAGGGGGTAAATGAGTCCAGGAATCTTGCATCTTTACTATCCTTCCTCCAAAACTCTGAGACAGGAAAGCCAGAAAGTGGCTAGGCCTGGGGTCAGACCTCACTCAGATAGCAACTTTGGGAGCCAAAAGCCACTCCACCCAGCCCAAGGGAGGCCCTGCAGCCTCTAGTCAGGAGGGATCTTACTTCTGGGCCTGTGTACACCTAGGTAATGTTTAATTTTCTCTGTTCTGGTCCCCAGCAACCCCTATCCTGGGGGATGACAATCCTTACTTTGGTCCTGGCCAGACAGCTAGGGGACGGAGTCCTCAGTGGCCAGAATGTGCTCCCAGCCAAAGATCTCAGGGCTGAGCCCATGTCCGGGGTCCTCAGGCCTGTACGCCTTCTCCCCACACCCCCACACAGTACCTGAAAGCAGACCTGGGTAGGGAATAGTTGCTCAGTTGAACTCTGGGGCTGTTGAAAAAGCCCAACGTGCAAGAAGGCTGTCCAGGGGCATGTTTTGGACGGGCTTCATGAGAAGCCTAGAAAAGAAGACCCACGCCAAGGAAGCAGGCAGGAGAGGCCGTGTGGCCACCTGCATCTGTGTTTATTGTTCTGTTTTCTCCAACCCCAACAGAGCAGAGTGTGAGTCCAGGGGCAGCTGGGCCCGTTCCATGGTTCTATGGGACCAACAGAGTCATGTGTGTGGGGGTCAGAGTCCATGAGACATCTATTGGGAGGAAGACCCATAATTCAGGGGCCTAGCACCCCCTCTTCTGCACTGCCATGCCTGAAGCCTCCACTGGGATTCATGATGTGGCAAGCGTGAGAGTGCAGGCTGCGATGGGAGTGGGGCAGCCATGGGGCCAAGCGGCCATCAGAAGCTCCATGGGAGCCTGGGCAAGCCTTCTGAGGCTGCTGGACATCTCCCTTGCCCTAAAGAGAAGTGGGCGCTGGGCCAGCGAGATGGGCCAGACACAAATGGGATCTTCCCAGGCCACCTCTCCCTGAGCTATCCTCTTTCCCACAGTCGACTTCCTGTGCTCCTGTCACCTGATGCCTCAGGTCTGCACAAAGTCCATCTCTTCCACAGGAACCGGTCCAGAGTATGAAGTCCTACATCCCAGCACCTCCCTGGGATGCTCTCCTGCCAAAAGCATCAGCACAGTGCTGGGGCTTCGACCAGCCCCAAGAAAGGGAGGTGAAAGAAGCCTGTGGAGGGCCTGGAGCATGGGGAGGAAGTCCTCTCCCCATTCAGGCCCATGGGTTGAGGTCTGTCCACAGCCCTGGCCCTGCATCTGTCTGTGCTGCCATCCAGGGCATGGGTGTGAATCCTGGTGGGACCTCCAGTCCGGGCCAGCAGGGGCCAGACCTGCAGACCTGGTTGGGAGATGGAGAGAAGGTCTTGAATGAAGGCTGGCTGCAGGGGACAGGAAGCCACTTCTTGACACTTGTTCAGTTTGGGCCACTGCATGGGCTCCGTGGCCCTGACAGTTGTCTAGATGGGCCCTGGAGAGGAAGACCTGGGCCCCAGCTCCCCATACTTGCTAAGGTCTTTTGGAGAGATAGCCCATCTAAGGCTGGGAAAGGACCAGCCAGAGACTTACCGTAATTAGGAGTACGCCAGGCCCTGAAGCCCCCGGGCTGGAGAGTGGAACTTCTCAGAATCCTCAAAAGGCTGGTCTGTAGTAACCAAGGGGAGGGGCTATAAGCCATGTGTAGCCTGGGGAGCTTATCTGCCTGTCCTCCCTGGGCTGGGGACAGTATACAGAGCTGAGTACAGTGCTATCAAGAGCCTTGGAGGTAGTCAGCCAGACCTAGCTCTGGTCTGGAACCAGCATTGCAGAAAGTTAGGTGAGGCATGCCAGAGGGCCTGGCTCGAGGTGAGGAAGCAGATGGCCAGGTACCAGGACAGAAAAGAAAAGAGGTCAGCCTCCAGGAGCACTGATACCCAATACAGTGGCAGCATCAGCGTGGCTTCCTCCCCTATCTCCATGACATTCATCACTCCCATCACCCTTGCCCCTGCCTACCCACCTCCCATGGTTGGTATTGATGTCCCTCACATTTTAAACTGTCTTGGGTTAAAAAAAACAAGGCAAAAAAAGGATTGCCCTTTCAAATCATCCTAGGGCATTATCTAACAAGCCCATCCTAACAGTCATCTTCTAGGGGATGTGACTTCTTTTGACTCGCTATACACTATTGGTTAGGGCTCAGGCTGTGAAATTGGATGTTGAGTTGGAGGAGACTGATAAATGAAGTGGCAAATGACAACCATTTCACAATTGGGATGTGGAGGGATGATGTGGTCTCAATTTCTTATCTGGAAAATGGGGGAGAGGAAGCTGGGCTAAACTTTGTCCAAGGCCAGTCCCCTTCCATCAGCAAGCGACCCAGTCCCTCACAGTGGTGTGTGCTACCCTCCAGTGGACACACAGGTAAAAAGCATGCAGTCCACGTGGGGTTCCTCCAGCTGAGTATTAGGTCTCTGCCCTGGGTTCAACTGGATGGGAGTGGGGCCTTGGGATGGTTTTCAGACCTTCTCCAACTGGAATTTGAGTCCCCTTTCCCTTGGTCAAGTGGCCAGTTGATAGCATCAGGAGTGGTGATCATCCCAAGCTATGAGGACAGGGAAGTGGGGTCCCCTTGGACTCATACAAAGCTCCTTGCTCTGTACCCTACAGGGAGAACTGGTCAGCTGGCATGAGGTCTGGTGAGATGTGGATGGCACGGGCCCCTCAAGCCCAGCTGCTCCACCGGGCCTCAGTGGGGCAGAATGAACCACTCACTCACCTGGAAGCCCCTCTCCGTGGGCTCTGGGGCAGGCCTGGGTTGGGGAGCTTGGTGGGCGCAGCACGGGGGCAAAGGCGCTCCTCTGTTTGACAGCGGAGATCATGTTGACAGGTGAGAAGGAGAAGACGCTGGTGGTGGGGGCAGCCGCCGGGAGGGACATGGAGGAGGCAGCAGCCAGCGGGGGGCTAGAGGGCATGACTCCGGGGCGGGGCGGGGAGGGGCAGGTGCAGCAGGGAAGGCAGTGGGAGACACAACAGGGAGACAGCACCATAGTGAGCAGCGTGGGCTGCTGACCCCAGGCCCAGACCTCACTGAGGGCTGTGAAGGTCCTGGGGGGACCCGTACAGGGCAGGGTCTGGAGGCAGGCTGGGACCCTCTGAGGTTCTGGGCCAACACTTGCCTTTTGGGGGGCTCTGGAGACCCTTTCTCGGGGCTGGAGGTGACAGAGTCAGACTAGGTAAAAACAAAAGCAAAACCAGAATATCCAACAAAATCAAATACTGGGAGGTGGCCCCAAAGATGAGAGATGAGCAAGAGATAGAACAGCCTAGGATTCCTGCTGAAAACCACTGGAAGTCTGAGAAGCTGAAAAATATTTATGGGCCCTAGAGTACCAAAGTTCTCAGAGTCAAAGATTGGGATTCATAGTGGAGCTGGGGCAAATGGTCAGGGATAAAGTTTTGGGGTAGATGAAGGCTCCTGTTACAAGGCTCTCTGTCCAGGGCCAGAGCTCACACAACAAGCACTTGAACTTCCTCCACAAATATGCTCCCCTTATCAATCACCTCTCACTCTGGGTATTTTGTTTTCTCCCAGTTTAATGTAGGTCCTTGTCATCTCCAGCCCAGGTCCTATATCACCCTCTTCCAGCTGGTCAATTTTAAAGGAAAGCATAGGGCCCGACTGGCGTGGCTCAGTGGTTGAGCATCGACCTATGAACCAAGAAGTCATGGTTCAGTTCCGGTCAGGGCAGCACGTGCCTGGGTTGTAGGCTCCATACCCAGTAGGGGGCGTGTAGGAGGCAGCCAAGCAATGATTCTCAGCATGGATGTTGCTGTCTCTCTCTCCCTTCCTCTCTGAAATCAATCAAATAAATAAATTTATATATATATTTTTTAAATCCTCACCGAGGATATTTTTCCTTTGAGATTTACAGAGAGTGGAAGAGGTAAAGAGAGAGAAATAACAATGTGAGAGAAACACATTGATTGGTTGCCTCCTGCACATGCCCCGACCAGGGCCCAGGCCAGCGGGGAGCCTGCAACCAAGGTACATGCCCTTGACTGGAATCAAACCCGGGACCCTTTGGTCCACAGGCCGATGCTCTATCCACTGAGCCAAACCAGCTAGGGCTAAAAATATATTTAAAAAAATAAAATAAAGAAAAGCGTAGGGATCACATCTTCAGATTTTCCTGTCCTCCAACGCCCTAGCCACCCAGAGCTGTGGCTTGCAGCCCTGCATAGAGGCTTTGTCTGTCCCTCCTCCCTGCAGCCTCCTCTCCTGGGGGCTCCTGCCCACTGTATCTCTGGACCCCTCTTTCTATATCCTCATCTGAACCCAGTTCCCTGCCTTTCCTAAAGACCAATCGGGCTGTGCTTTCAGTGTTGTCTGAGCAGAGGGCTATGGGGTGGGGGCAGAGGCTTTCTGGAAGAAACCAAGAGCCTTTGGCATCAAAGCACCCCTCCCCCTCCCATTGATTCATTGCTGCCCTGGTCCCAAATGTCCTCAGGCCATGAATGGTCATCTCCTTTAAGACAATGCTCACTGCTAGCTGACGAGGCCATGAGCTCCAGGGAGGGCTTGAGACAAAAGTACTCTCTCTCTCAAGGCCAGGGGCTCACAGCCACATTTTGCAGCTTGAGTAGGATGGGAGTTGTGGGTCAGTCCAGGGCTGCTGGTGGCCAAAGTAAAGACCAAGGGGCAGTCCACACAGATAGCCCAGACCCACTGGCTGGGACAGTTCTGGATGTCATTCCAGGCACATCCTGGCACTCAATGAGAATGACAGTCCCTGAAGCTATCCCACAATGTCCTCTGCACATGAGGAGTGGATGGGGTCCTGGGTAAGCACTACAATATTACGAGATGGGACTGGCACTTGGGCGAGGCCAGGGTGTCCCCAGCTGATGCTGGAAGTGGGGTATAAGCAGCTCTAGAATTCTCGATCCTCTGGCTGAATGGGGAGATCCCAGGTGGCCTGGCTTCTGCCCACTGGGTCAGTGAGTTCCTCCGCTGCTGATGGCACTGTGTTATAGTGGAGGAGGGAGGTTGGTGCTCCAGACTCCAGCAGCTCCAAATCCGAGGGGCACCCAGAGAGAGGTCTGAGAGTGCTCTCCCAGAACTGAAGGGAAGTAAGAGCAGTGGAGCCTGGCCTGAGCAAATGGCCAGGAGAGACAGAGGCTTCCGGAGGGATACCAGAGGGTCATCGCCTGTGTGGATGCTGGAATATGGGGCTTAGGGTTCCAGAAGTTGAGCCTGGGAAGGGAGTAGAGTGCCAGGCTCAAACCCACAGTCAGAAAGAACAGTACCCAGGGTGCAGGCCACTGGCAAGGAAGGCTAGGCAGGTGGCCAGAGACTTTGATCCTCAGCAATAGCAAACATAAGATGGGGGGCAGGTGAGGAAACCACAAGAAAAGCCACGACCCGCTTCTCACACAGCCTTTCTCATTCCTCTGGCTCAGCAGCATCC